GACATGGTCGTGCACTGCTTCCTGTTTGACCTCTTACACCTCAAAGGTATTTATCTTTCCACAAATTAAAATATATATATATATATATTATTTATTTTATGTTTTAAAATTTTTAATACAATGTTTAATTATAAATCTAACATTCTACAATTTTATTAAAAAAATTACTATTTAATCATTTGTATTCTTATAACTACAAATGGTTATTTTACTTTTTTTTTCTGATAAATTACATTAAATAATATTTTCATATCAACATATTTTACATTATCTATGTATATATATATATATATATATATATATAATAAGAATGGAAATCAAATATAATAAGCATTTTTTGTCATTATGCATTAATTACATCCTAATTATAGTAATTTTACACAATTCCTTAAAACAAACCTCGAAGCATTAATTGCAATCTGTTTTAACTTCCCTCGACAACCGAAAATGTTCCATAATATTTGATTAAACACTAAATCCGATTGTTTGGAATCAATTGTATTTAAAAGCAATGTTATTATAGAATCAAATATTATGAAGTATCGTTTTAAAATTAATATAATTATGGAATCAAATAATGTAACCACGATTCAATATTTTTAATTCAATCTATATGTCTTTTTAGACTTTTCAATTCATTTTAATATAAATTTACCGTAAAAATGAGAGTAGAACTTTACAATAATCATGGTATCAATATTAATAATATAAATGATAAATAAAAAAATTTATTATTTGGACTGTACACTCTATTATATACATATAAATAAATCTCATATTTGAACTTTAATTTTTTTTTTATTTTTTTCACATACATTTATACAATATATGAAACTTAACTACAAGTAAAAAATTTAGTAAAGATTTAATTTCAACCATGGTAACATGTTCTTAAAAATTGCCACAATATTCGGTTCACTATTCTACTACGCATGTAAAGAACTTTTTATTTATATTATCACGATTTTTTTATCATTTTGAATTATTTTTTTATCAATTTAGTTATGAAAAAAAAATTCATTTAAAAATAGTGATTTAATGTATCCAATTCATTTAGTTAGTTTTGAGCTACAAATGATAAAATGTCGTTGTTATTTTTTTTTTTAAGTAATTGTTTTTGTAAATATTATTTTACAAAAGATACAATCAAAAATCCAAATCTCTGTTAAAACGGAACAAAAACAAAATTGTTCTCAATATTGGAATGAATTTGGAATAAAAAACGAGAATGATTGAAAAAAAAGATATACTCAAAATTCACACTTTAAGGTAACACATTTTCTTATATTTTATATAAAATTAAACTTCACCAGATAAATCATATCTTTAGTATTTATCACAATATTACATATTTACACTAATTTTAATTTGTGGTGCTAACATAACGTAAATCAACAAAAAAAATAAAAAAAAATAAAAATAAAAAATAAAGTAAGAAGGTGTCTATGCAGTTCGCAATTACCAACTGGAGAGTAATATTGGTAAATATCGGTCTACGATTGCCAAGTGCAAAGTAATTTTGCATGGAAAAATGACGATGTTTTTAATAATGTATGATTTTTTCATGGCGAACATTTTACGATTACCTAACAAATACTCTATGTATTAAAACTTATTGATTAATAATTTAATTAAAAACCTTACCAAAATAAATACAGCCCGTGCATCGCACGGGGTTACGTACTAGTTATTATTATAATTATCATTATGTGTAGACATGGCCACGGGCGGCCCGGCCCGTGGCCCGACCCGTGACCCGGTACCGGCATGAATAGTGCCGGTTTCGCGAATCGGACCGCGGCCAATCCGGTCCGGTTAAGGGTCACGGTTTGTTTTTTGTCCCGGTGGGCCGGGACCGGTTGGCCAGCTGCCGGGTTTGGGCCCGCCTTTTTTTTTAAAATATTTTAT